TCTGTAAATATACAAGAATCATACAGAATAAAGAGGTTTAGTGGGTTGTAAATGATTTTGATGGTGTAATTATGATGCAGAGGGATAGATGTTTGCAACTATAATTTATGTTTCAAAAAGCATTCAAAAAAATTCTGTTTAAAAATTGCAAATAATAATCCGATCTGTGTAATGCCAAATGGTATCAAACTCTATAAAAAACTATCTGATTTGTGTAATGCCAAATGGTTTCCAACTCTATAATAAACCAACCGGTCTTCTCCATGCTGGATGGTTTATACACTTGTGAGAATTATATACTATTTTATGGAATGTTGGGCCTTAGATGATTTTGAGGGTGTAAATACTATTTTATCACATGAGGGGCTGAAATTTACAATTGCAATAAACCATCCGGTTTGTGTAATGCCAGATGATTTCTAATTCTATAAAATACTATCTAGTATGTGTAATGCTGGATGTAGACCTGTTCATGGGCCGGGTAGCCCAATGGCCCGGCCCGCACCCGGTCGGGCTTGCTCATGTAATTAGGCCTGACCTCAGGTCTAACACAGTAAGCCTGACTGTGTTTCGGGCCGGGCTCGGGATTTGTCAAAAAAGCCTGGCCCGAGCCCGGCCCGACCCGACTCAATATTATATAATATATAAAATACATATTATGTATTTTATATATTATATAAAATATATAAATAATATAATATTTATTGAAATATATATATATTTATAATTTAATATATACATTTTTTTTATTTTTTTCTTTATAATCTCTCTCTCTCTCTCTCTATCTCTATTCAGCCGCTTCAGCAATAGTAACAGCATGGGCTAAATTTCGGGCTCGGGCTTTGGCCTTAGAAAAATTTGTTAATATAGAGTGAAAGCACGGCCCAGCCCATAAACAGGTCTAGCTGGATGCTTTCCAATTTTGTAAAACACTATCCAGTCTGTTTGATGTCAGATGGTTTCTAACTTTGTAATAAACCATCTAGTTTGTGTAATGTCGGATAGTTTCCAACTCTATAATAAACCATCTGGTCTTCCCCATGCTGGATTATGCCTAAATCTGTTAAACACCACCTATGTTGCTCCATACTATATAGTCTAGGCACAAAACCTGTTCTTGTTGTTAATCATATAAGTAGATATGTAGTTTGAGTATTAATCATAGAGATAAACATTATGAACTTTATTCAATTGTCTTGCTATTTTAGCCAATCTGGCATTATCATTAAAAAAATATTATTTTATTGATAAAATATTAAAATATTAAAATTATTATTTTAAAGTATAAAAATTAAAATGAAAGAAAAGTATGTATAAGATATATATTGTATCAAAGTAGAGTGTGGAAATACTATGAATTGGCTAAATCCATGAGATATATGTGTGACTGGGATTTTGGACCGTGAGCGGGGATGGTCTATGATATAGTATGGATTGGTTCCATCCACAACCAACCAAACGGGGGGATTCATCCCGTGGCATGGACTGAAATTGCAGGAGCGGAGCCAAGGGGTGGTGGAGGGGAGCCATGCCTCCCCCCATGTCTTCAAAATTCCCACAAAACCCATTTAAATTCCACTTATATTTTGACCACCTTACCCATGTTTCTTAACTTTTGGTCCCCCTATGTCTTTAAAATTCTCACAAAACCCATTTAAATTCCATTTATATTTTGACCCCCTACCCATTTAAATTCCAACTCACCTTTTTTTCCCTCGGTATAAATGACTTAACTATTGGAATCTACGCCCCTACGATATCACCCGAGGGACTAACGTCTCTTCTATTTGCAGATCTCTTTTAACAGCCGAGGTCAGGTGACACCCTACTTATACAAATTTTCATGTTCGCCGGTGTTACAAAATTTCAACGCAAACAAAAACCATGAATGGGAAACTGAGGATTTGAAGATCACTCAGCCTTAGGAACTTATTTCCTGTTTTTGTTTTTTTTTCGTATCGTGTCCATATACTCTGCCTTTTTTGAAAGAGCCCCGGCCCCTTGGCCACGTTGGGTTGACGATTCTTAAACAAAACTAAAGCTCCAATGTGAACAGGGTTCCACTTGTAATAAAATCACGTGTGAACACGGTGTCCGATTCGAGCGGAATCATTCACCCATCGTAGTTCGAACCATTAGAGGTAAGGTGGCCCATCGTAGTTTTGATTTATATATATTTTTTTCTCGCTGGGCTGGGGGGTGGCCCGGCTCGGCACTTGTCATCCTTAACTACGGTCTTTTTAGCAATGACTTAAAAGTAAATGATAAGAATGTGAAAATACCGGTGCTATTGCATAAAATGAAAAATTACATTGGAGGGCAAAAGTGTTCCCATTCTGAAATGTTGCCCAACCAATCAGACTTTGAAGGCGTAGTGTAGACTACTTTCATTCCACTTTCATCTTTCTATATAGTCCTTATGCGCGTACAGTCCTTTCGCGCTACGCTAGGACGCTTATATCCGTTGCTTGCACTCTTCCTCCCTCTCTATTTGATTTGCTTCCTTTGGAGTTTGAGCTTTGCCATCTCTTCCAGTGTCCTTTGCCCTTGTCTTTCACAATGTGTCGAACACATATGCTGTTTAGTTAAGTTAATCCTTACTCTTCCCAATTCACGGGGGATGGGCTGTGAATTGCCCATCCCTATCCCATATTGAATAAAGGATGGATGGATGATAATGCATTCAACTCGATTATATTTTCACAAAAAAAAAAGATTCTCAAGAAGTATAAATATAAAACCTTATTTTTTTATTTTATTTTGTATGCATTGGCACTGTGCATTATTATATTTATACTCTTTTCAAAGTTCCTTAAAATTCTATCCTACATCCAATGGAACTATAAAAACACCCAAAGAATTGAGAGCGAGAAAGATGCAAATGCAATAATGGATTTTTTAATTGCTAACCAACCTTATTTAACTATTCAAAACCAATCTTTGAACTCTATGGATGTGATTAACCACATGCCATGCCATGATTCTCTCAATGCAATTAACTGTATGCTTTTCTTTAAATTATTATTTAATTTAGTAAATTTTAATAAACTAACAAGCTGCCATAAAAAACGTCGGATGGGATTATACAAAGCTGAAAGACGTAATTTAAGATTTATTAGTGGATAGTGGAAGACTGGAAGTGATATAATCTAATAAACGTGGTGTTGGTGAGTGGTTTAGGCACGCGCACGGCACACCCCCTTTTGACCAATAGGGCATCATCATCACTCATCACTCTTGTGTCTCCCAACGGATAACTTTATAAAAACACAAAAAGAGAGGAATGAGAAAGGGAGGACCCTTTTCATTTATGATTTACCGTTGCTTTTGTTATCCATTATTACTACACTTGCCTTGAGTTCTGTGAATGAGTTTGTGTTTCGTCTCTTCTCACTTCTCATAAAAATTAAAATCTGGAGAACTCGGCGGCTCGCTTCAGTAAGGCCCGTTCGAACTTCGAACAGTCTTTTAATTCCCTTTCATTACACAATAAAGTACATAGGTATGGAGATTTTCTCGATATTAGGCTGTTCCAACACCTCGACGGGCCTTACACTGATTAAAGCCGATCACAAATTTGGATAGTGCGTCTTTTGTACCTGTTATTAACTTAAGAAAAATTGTTATTGAAATCTTCCTCTTAGTTTGATAATTACTTATCATATAGTTGTAAATAGATCCTTTTTTCTTAGAATCCTCTAAAAAGAATCATGAAAATATCTGGCCATGTATTTATTTATTTTTCAAATTTTTTCTCATATGAACCACTGATCTAAATCCTTTTAATTTCTTTTTGGGAAAATCTATAATACAGGAAAGACATGGTATTTCAAGAGTTTTGACAAATCAAAATCCACCCATGAATAATACATTTTTGGCTACCACATTTATAATAGACCGGTCGATTAGTCAACAAACATTTTTCAGATATCATATCTTTCCAATATCATAGTGGAGCCCTTTCTTATTTGAAATTGAATTATATTCTAAACTTGTCCTTCATATCAATCAATCAAATAGGCTGCAATTTTTCATTAAAAAACTATCCTCAATAGTAATTGTATGAATATTTTGAACAGTTTGATACTTTTTGTTAAAAAATTTTAATAGAAAAAATTTATTTACAATTATTTCAAAAAATTTAGAAAAAGTGATTACAATTATCAAACTTAAGACGTTTCAACAATTTACCCTATAACTTATAAGCATAAAGGTAACACCGATAAGGGTTTTTTTAATAATTGAACACTATTTATACCAAAGCTCAGCACTCGTACTTTAATACGTTTGTACGTGATTTTTTTTTTTCATGTGGAAGTTTGTGACTTCGTCATCAATCAGCATGTAAATATGTAATGAGTAATAACAGAAACAAAAATAGATAATCACGACATCCTCTACCATAATTAGGCAATAGTTATCTAAATAGTAAAGGTTGTTTTCGTCAAACCAGCATCTTTTCATGAAATATGCAATATGCAATCCTCCTCACGCTTTTATCTTTTAGACTATTGGTCTTTAGAAGAGACGGAGAGAGAACAAACGAGACCGGATCTGCCCCTCACAGAAGGCGCCTCACACGGGAGATGTTCCTAATGCACGGTGGATGTGCATGTGAGGCGCTCGAGAGTGAGGAGCAGATCCCGTCCCAGAACAAACAAAGGGTATAGTGCTGTGCTCTCACAAAGCGCACCTCACAGCCCCATCCCACCGTGTGTCGGGAATATCTCTCGCCATAATGGTCATGCATTAGAATTGTTAAGCCATAAATGTGTGAAAGTACGCGCATCATCAACTTGCGAATTTTAAATTAGCGATGCCAGGAGGGCAGCGACGAAACAACAGGCTGACGCCACTCCACTGACGATTCATTTTGACGTCACCTTGTAAAATGATCACCCTCTATACACGCTCACTACGCTACTACCGCGATTTTTCCAATCAACTTCTCTGTATTTTCTTTTTTTCCTTTCCCAATTGTTTCTCTTTTTCTTTTTTAATGTTTATCCTCCTCCTTTGCTCCCCCCCCTGCACATAAAAACACCTAAAAAGCAATCTTTTCTTCTCTTCATCTCATCATCATCACTCACCTTCTCTCTCACTCCTCCTCAGCCTCAAGGCCCTCAACCGCCGAGGATAATCATTGAGGAAGGAAAACAAGCCAGAAAGGAGAAGAAGCAAAGCCGCTCATAACATATAAACCAAGCGAGATGGACACAACTGTTGAATCTCCGTGGCCGGGAAATTTCTCTATTGATCGGAAAAGGCTGATCAACAGTCTCGTGCGAGGCCGTGAACTCACAACCCAACTTCAAACTATCCTCTGCAATCGCCTCGGACATGAGGATGGGTCCTTGTCCACCGAAGATCTCCTCCCAAGAATCTTACGATCCTTCACCGAGGCTATTTCTGCACTCAAGTCCGCTGACTCCGGAGAGGTCTGTCAGAACCCGTCGAGTACGAATGTGAGTTCGCCCAGTTGTGATGGCCCAAGGACGGAAGATTCCGGCGAGAGCAGGAAGTCTCCAGCAGTCAAGGATCGTAGAGGAGATTATAAGAGAAGGTAATTGGCTGATCACATGCTGAAAAATAATGAAACAAACTTTGTTTTAGGCAAGGAAGATCAAGGGGTAATTTAGTCACCTTGGATGGAATAGAGGCAGAAGAGTCTTTTTTCGTCATTTGGATTCTTGGGTGCCCACTGGGCACTGGCTGGGAGTTCCAGGTCAAACAAGAGACAAGGGAGATATCTTGGTTGCCAGATGACATTGTTGTCCCCAGTTCTTTTCCACTGTCATAGTTACCTCTGTTCATTGACAGATAGAGAATGCATTTGGCTTAATTTGGGTAATCAACACTATTTACTAACATGCAGATTTCGTTTCTTGGTTGCAGAAAGGTTTCTGAGACATGGACAAAGATCACTCCCACTCCCATTGACGACGGCCGTGCGTGGCGAAAATACGGCCAAAAAGTGATCCTCAATTGCAAATACCCAAGGTTTGTTGTTGATGATGACCTTCTTTAATTTTCTTGTTCAGTAAAGACAACATAGTTTTAGTTTTAGTTTAGATGATGACGACGAAGCAAATTTATATCATAATAAATTAATTTTTATTATGTGATGATGGAGCAGGAACTATTATAGGTGCACTCACAAAAACGACCAAGGATGTGCAGCAACCAAACAAGTACAGCAAATTGAAGATGACCCACCAAAGTATCGAACTATATACAAGGGCCAGCACACATGCAAAGATATATCAAAGCCCCCCCAATTCATCATGGACTCTACCCATACAGACTCCTCCTCCTTCGTTCTAAGCTTTCAGTCAGACTCAGACGCTCCAATAACTAACCAGCAGCAGCTCCAGGAGCACCATCCCTTCTTCTCTTCCTCTTTCCCCCCAATAATAAAACAGGAATGCCAGGAAGAAATCCCAAACCATGAGATGGAGGAGCTCACCCACAACCAGCAATCTTCATCACAATATTTTCTGCCATCTGTCCCTACATCAGCGTTGCCATCCACACCCGGGTCTGATCATGGGGATGTGATTTCGGGCGTCTACTCGTGTAGCACCAGCTCTCACAGTCTGGACATGAGCTTCGTCGGTGACTTTGATGATGTTTTCCATTTTGATGATGATGACTTTTTTCCGGTTTAATTCGTTCGGTGCATGTAATTGTGTAAAGTGAAGTGAAACTTGGAAATTTGGTTGTACGATACCATCACCATCATCATGTATTTCCCCTGTTACATTACTTGTCTACTTCTTTCTCTGATATAAAAATTGGACTGAGATCCACTCTCATCCCGATCGAATTCCCCTGTTGCATTACTTGTCTACTTCTTTCTCTGATATAAAAATTGGA